ATTGCCTCTAAAGGGGAAAAAAGGAGACGAAATCATATCAAAGGAGAGGAGAAATTATAAGCTCGACTTATCTTTAATGTTATACATCAAAATGGAATTTCTGTGATAGGTGTCGCGTGCGTCAACAACCCGGGCGGCTTTTGTCTTTGTTGGACTGAAATGAGAAGTCCCTCTAGATATTAATATGTGGACTTCATTTGTTAGCCTGCTAAGTCAGGGACTTATAACAAAAGCTTTGTAAACAAAAGATTAAACTGAATCGAGCTTTAGAAAATGAAAGGAAAACAAGCGTCAAGTAATCACAGATCAGAGAGGGGCTGCTTAGATGGAAATCAGCGTGGCTTACCCGAGTGGAAAATGTTTAATTGAACTATTTCATTACGCGGAAGTTTATGTGTCCCTTGCAGAATCCAAAATATTTGTGTCAGAAAAGCCATTCTTTCCCTCCCTTCCAAACCGGGTCATGCCAAGGACTGTGTGCTCCCACGGGTATGGAATAGGTAGTGTGGGCAAGTGTATAGGGACCGAAGTCCATCAGCTGTCACCAGGGACAGGTGAGAGGGCGGGGAAAGGGGGACTCGCTGCCTGGGGACACTGAGCTCTGAGAAGGGTGATGGGAAAATCTGCAAACGGACAGTGGTGACAGTGGCACAACATGACACTTGTCACTCACGTCACTGAGTTGTGCACGTGAGGACTGTTGAAAAGGTAAATGATTGGTTACACACGTATTCACCACAATTAAAAAAAAGGGGCCTGCAGAGACGGAACATAAAACTGGAAACTGCGCGGCCCCCTTGTCACACCCCCACTCGCCCTGGAAGCGGCCCGTCGAGGCCAGTGTGGCCCCCCGCACTGTGGGCTTGGGTTTCAGGGTGTCTGTTGGGCCCCTTCCTAGAGCACCTGGTGCCCCCAAACCAGAACAACCCCGATGGCGGCCCCACCGTGAGCGGGGTGCCCCTCGCTCTTGTACTAACCTTGGGTAACCTTTCGGGATCACCGGGATGCCTTGGGATCACTTTCTGCAATCTCTGAAAGCCGTAGTCTATGGTGGGTTCGTTAAGGGCTGCAACAGGACACAGAAATGTGGGTCAGGTTAACTCCCTTCACGCTGTCCATTACTTGTTTACTGCACGCTTACAGAGAACCACGGAACTCTCCTTCTCGGGCTCCCTGTCCGGCAGGGCCCTGAACGTGGGTTCTCCTCTTAAGGCAGAGACTTCTGCCTTTCTTTTGCACAAAAAAGCAATGATTATTTCTAATCTATAATTAGATGAGACCAAAGTCAAGGGGTGACTCAATATATTGTAAAAATGGCCGTGCCGTCACAAAGTCACAGGTCTCGGATGCATATATAGCGGTTGCCACCACCAAGCAACACAGGCTCAGCCACTGCCTTGCTCACAGGCCAGGGATTTATGGGAGACAGGCAATTATGACATATGCCCGGCTATTGCTAGCCTCAGATTCATCCCTGTGGTCCTTTTCTGTCTAGCATATTGCCTGAGCACAAACCGGGCAGGGGGGCACTTACTCTTGCAAAGCTTTAATAATCTGTGAATAGCCAGCTAGAACTGATGGAGAGACTATCATTCCACAGCTGCAATCCACAGGCCTCGTGACATTGCTGGCCACAAATAGTAATTAATCTTTTTATCCCTCAAATTGTAATTTTGACTATGAACTGTGCGCGCCCATAAATCAGCAGCACATGCGCCACGTACAGTGAATGAATCACGGCCGGGGCTCCGTCCGACGGCACATACCCGGTTTAACAAGCTTTCTAAGGAGTCATCGGGCTTTATTATGGCTCTGCCCGACTCCAACAGAAACTGAGCCCGGAGGCCGAGGACGTGCGTTAAGATGAAAATACTTATTAGAGTACATTACTCCTTGATGTAGATATTGTTTTCAGTGGAGTTGCTCTGCGGTGCACGGCGCGACATAAATCAGGGGGTTTTCTGAGACTAATAAGACCTGCCGCCATCTATTCATTACTCAGCCCACAATTTGGGCCATCACTCATTAGTCAGCATGTAATTTGATGATTAACACCACACAACTCAGCAGGTTCGCGGAGTGCAGGGGTGCAGGGAGGCGGCAGCTCGCTAAGGGGAAGGTTGGGGGGCTGCCTTTGAAAGGGCTCTCCAAAATAATCGGTCACCATTATCCTCGAGCGCGCGGGCTATTTGTGTAAACACCCATGGCGCGCGCCTTGTGAGCAACGCACACTCAATAACACGGCCGAAAGTTGAGGACCACAATATGGGTTGACATTCTATCATGCATCCCGGAGACAAAGGGCCACACAGGAATGTGAAGTAAGACATTTTCTTGTTAATAAAGCATTGATCCGATGTATTGATTTTACATGACACGGCTTTTGCTGGGATTCTGCCCTCTTTTTTCTTTGCAAAGAGTAAAGCTCTTCAAAATGCCCCGGCGTGTGTGACATGGCAAAATTTCTAACTCTCTGTGATGTAAATTCTATATGTGTAAAACCACTTCATAATCAGACCATTAATCATCAGAACCTGTCAGCGTTGACTTGGGGGACAATTTGTCATGTCTCTGCCTGGGCCCGTGCGAGGGTGTCAGGCACCAGCCGGGGGTGGGCAGTGGGGCAGTGGGCCTTCCAGCCCCTCCAAGTGACGCCGTCCAAATAGGATGAGATAAAGTATTACATTTCTTGATTGGGGAACAAAAAAGGTGGCCCACTGTGCCATTTCTAACACGTCAGGGTTTCTCCTCTCTCCCAGCTAATCACCATGACTGTTTGACTTAATGAATCTGGCCTGATGAAAGGTGATCAGAAAAGATAGATGGTTGGCCGCTATTGATTTCATGCAAATGCGCCTGACAGGTGAAAGAGGCTTTAATGCAAGCTTTCAGAAGCTTTATGACTTGTAATAACCATACGCTCTCGTTCTTCCAGAGACATTCTCCAGTGTTTTAGATGAATTGATACTCTTCTTCTATTACCAAAAATCTGTGAAAGCAGTATAAACAGGAGGGTACCTTTCCCCTCTTGCTTCAGCCCAAGAGCATTTACATCTTGAGCATCATGCCAAGAATAAGACCATCTTTCCATTTAGAGTTCCGATGATGACACATAATTGGACCACTGCAGGCCGCTGCCTCCCAGACGCACGCCGCAGGAAAGGCGGGCCGGGCTGCTGCTGCTCCAGTTTTCAACCCCACCTAGGATCCTTCCTTCCGGAAGCCCAGTGGACTTCCATGTAAGAACTGGAAAACATGGCGCCCCTCTTTAGATTACGAGAAGGGACCTGCTTTCATGGATCTTCCAGGGTTTTGGTAAATGGAGGTGGGTCATCCTCTCTGCCTCTGTGCCTCCTGGAGCAGCTGCCACGGGCAGAGTAAGCACACTGGCTCTGCGACGTCCCAGCCCACGCCACGGCCGCCTGCCCTCTCTCGGTGCCAAGGGCAGCCCATCCGGCCGGAAGCCCTCCGAGCGCCCTCAGAGCTGGGCACACGAGGAGTCTCGCAGACTCCACTGGGCCAACCTCCAGCAAGAGGAGAAAGCGTCAGGCCCTTTGCACACATCTAATAAATCCTCAGCGTGGCGAGTTTACAAGCCGAGAGCTGGCCGAGCGAGGGCAGAGCTCCGGCACGTCCAGGCACCGAGCCCCGAGCCGGGCCAATCAATAGCACTTTCCTGTTTTAGAACTGGGTAATTATGAGGGGGAGAGATTGCCTGACCTTTCACCTGCACTGCATTACTTTGCTGATATTAAGATAAATTGCCTGATTTTGGGTAAACATATGCTGCAATTCAAACTGTCAGCACTGGTTTGCTCAGGGATAATTTGTATCGATCTCCCAGCTTCTTCCCAATTTTGCTTACTGACCTCGTGGTAATTAGAGAGGGGGCCTCGGGTGGGCGGGAGTCGGGGATGAAGAAGTATGAAGAGGAATACAGCAGATTTGTTTTATGTTAATACTTGCTGGTCTTCCTCCCGCCCTCACATCTGTCAGCATCAGGAGAACCATAAATTAATGTACTTTGGTTCCTGAGCAATTTATTCCAAGGAATCGTTTAGAAGCATGCTTAGTCTCTGGACATGAGTTACTGGGTTAAATTAATTTAAACTCTGTCTTAAACACAACAAAAACAAATGTTATTTTCTGCTGAAGGGGGAGAAAGGGAAAAAAACAAAACAAAACCACAATCCATTTTTTAAAATGTATTTCTAAGCTTCCAGCTCTCTGCGTGCCTTTCCACGTAGCTTCATCCTAGCCCAAGTTTTACAATAAATCCCCGCAAAAGTAATTAGTGCCCGTTATTTGCTCTGAATTCAAATTTCGCTCAGATGGGCCACTGCTGCGTATAAAAGAGATGAATGTATGTGCAAAATTATATCATTTAAGATATGTCAGATTACAGGGCTGTTGTATCAAAAGTCATAAAACAAATCTCCCTTGTGAAATATCTCTTTATTAACCGTGCCATAAGATATTAACATTCCTCATTTAGTGGAGGGACTTTTATCTGTTTCAAATACATGATTCGTCCTTTTAGAGATAAACTATATTAATATCCATTTGAGTAGGCTACCATGGCCTAATGCATAGTAATTTTTGTTGGAGAGCTTTATTTTAGAATAAGAAAATTACACAGCAATAAAACGTGAGGGAATCAGAAGCGAGGAGAGCCGGGAATCACATTCTATGCCAAATGAGGCAAGCAGTCAGGCGGCCGGCGAAGGGACCAGATACCCGGCTATCATACGCAGGCCAGCATCCCGCACGGGCATACAAATAGGGCCTGACACCAGCACGCAGGCTCAGTGATCCCTACAAGCCGGAATCGCCTACAGCTCAAGAAGGATCCATATTTAAATACATCTGAGTGTACTGGAGTTAATCTCGTCACTTTACATGCATTAAAGTCATAACTGAAGAAACATTCTAAATATTTAAGTCATGCCAGTGTACTGGGGGATTAATCATGCCGCAATTGATAAAATTTTAACTGTCTGTGATGTCAGCTCAAGTTGGGATTGCCGAAGCTAATGTGGCAGCAGAAAATGGCAGCAGACCCTCGGCGGCAGCTGCGGCCAGAAACGCTCCAATCTGCCTGCTGCAATTAGAGACGTACCAACGGGCAGGCGGCGGAGGGGGTCTCTTTCTTGTGACAGACACAGTTTTCACTTTCGTCTTGAGGGCTTAACCTCCTTTGTCAGCCAGCTCTGCCCTAAGGTCTGTGTTCATTTCCAAGACCCCGAAACATATATAATTATTTTATGGGACTTGAATAGCAAGTCCATTAGCGTATAAGCCTGATTAAATTAAGCAAGAGGATCTCTTCAGTACCCCTGGGTTGAGCAGACAGGAGGGAAAAAAAAAAAAAAATTCAGAGTGGAAAATAGATAAATTTGGGGCCAGTGAGTGTTTTTGATCAAGAGCAACCAACTCCCTTGGAAGGAAAACAGCCAAAGCAAGTGGCTTAGGTCCAGTCCATTCACGGAGCATTTATTAAGCAGCTACTGCATGCCTGGGGCTTGGGGGTGGGAAACCCGCCCCCCCGGGGTACCCCGAGCAGCTGCCCCCAGCAGAGACACCTGGCTGCTGCTGCTTCCAGGGCTGCCTGCCGGGGCGCCCCCGGCCCCCCTTGGGCCTGGGGGCTCCCTGCCTGCGAGCGACGATTGGGCTGCAGCTGGAAGGAGGGGCCTCAGTGACAAAGCTTAATTGTGAAAGCAACCTCCTGACCGCCCCTGCCAGGGAGACCTGGAGGACAGCCCAGCGCCGAGCCAGCCAGTGAGCACCGCGTGCCCTTAAGGACTCCTGGGGTCATTGCTCTTACAGGCCCCAGGTGTGTTTCCAAAACAGTGTCATTAAACACGCAAGGGGCTGACGCGCAGGTAGGAGTGAGCCACTTTCAGCATCCCCTCTCCACGGCTGCAGCCGGAGCCCAGCAAGCAATGCAAAATACACGAAGTTTTTGGTTTAGCACACACTTCCCTTCCGCCTGGAAAACCTGCCTGCAATAATAAAAACAGGAAGACATTCATTTGCTTCATTCCAGCTGCTGGTGCAGCTATCAAA